AGTTGGACCTGGTATTAAGCCTCCCGGAGAAGAATCAGTTCAGAGCTAATAGGAAAAAGTGCACCTTCGGTCGACCGCAGGTGGAGTACTTGGGGCACATTATTTCTCAAGCAGGGGTAGCCATGGATCCCGCCAAAGTCAATGCAGTGGTAGATTGGCCACAAACGAGATCTGTCCGAGAGGTCCGGGGATTTTGGGACTGACCGGATATTATAGGAGGTTCGTGAAGGAATATGGATTGATTGCACGGTCGCTCACGAAACATTAGCTCAGTTCCAGTGGTCTGCAGAGGTCGATGAGGCTTTCCGTCGACTCCAGAAGGCATTAACCCAAACTTGTCAAAAGCGATGAAAAACGCCTAAAAGCGACAAAGCGCAGGCGAGTGCTAAACCTGCGCCTGGCTTTTGAGAAGCGCCGCGCCATGAGAAAGCGAAGCTTTTCCGGCGCTTTTCCTTGAGCTCGCTTAATGAAAAGCGATCGCTTTTCATGGATTCTCACTAAAAGCGGTAAATTTACCGGTCAATTTTTTTTTTTAAATTTGGTCTTCTCATCTAGACGCTACGAGTTAGGGTTGTTCGACTCTTTCCCACTCCAGACATAGCCGTACTCTAGAGTCCAGACATAGCTGAAGCGCTGAAGAAATCGCAGGTGAAGAGCCGAAGAGGAGTTCGCCCAGGTCACCGATGTTTCCAATTCACGACTCGTAGGTGAAGAAGAGTAGTTCTCCCAGACTTTCTCGCCGGTGCTGCGCAGGTTCACCATCATTCTCTTTCATCATCGTTCTTCAATTTTACGTGATTGTAGTTGGAGCCCTGAACTTCCGCAGCTCACTTTACTCTGTTTCAATTTTACAGTTTACTCTATTTCTATAATAAGCATCTAAAATAGCCTATAATATATATATATATATATATATATATATTTATATATATATATAATATGAATGAAAGAAATCATTATATTATCATTTTCTTGGTAATTATGATAGTTTTGAACAGCTAAATCATACGGAGTATATCATAATGAAAGCATTGATAGCTAATGCCTTTTGTTGAATAATGAAATCATTTTCTTGGTAGTAACTAGTAATTGTACTTATTATTCTATCAAGAATTAATGTAGTAAATTATTTACAGAAAGATCAATGTCTTCACATTAGTAGTTAGTTACTCAAATGTATTCGGAGCTAAATTAAATTCCAGTTTATTACTTTCGGTTTATTGAATAATAATTTTTTTGTTTATTCCAGTTTATTCCTTTCACTTTATTGATTAATTATTATTTTTTCATTCCAATTTATAACTTTTATGATTAGTTATGTGTTTTTGCGTAATTGTGTGATGAAGGTTTTGAAACTTTATGCCGCACTAGTATTATTTTGAATGACTTTTATGACTACTAATGCATTTTTGGCATAATTATACATTATATTTTATATTTTCTTTTATTTTTTTAAGCATCGCTTTTTGTGAGAAAGCTACGCTTCGCTTAGCGCTCTCGCTTTTAAGCAAAGCCCATGGTCATCGCTTTTGGACGCTTTTCGCTTTAAAAAAGTTTGCATTAACCGAAACACCTGTATTAGCCAGGCCCCAGTTTGACCGCCAATTTGTGGTGGAATGCGATGCGTCGGGAACCGGGATTGGAGCGGTGCTTATGCAAGAGCGACGTCCGATTGCTTATTTTAGCAAATTATTGGCAGACATGACATTGTCCAGATCAGCCTACGAGTGGGAGATGATGAGATTAGCATTAGCCGTGCAACATTGGCGCCTTGGCGGCCTTATCTCATCGGGTGAAAATTTGTGGTGCGCACCGACCACCAGAGTCTCAAACATCTACTCACCCAACGCATAGCAACTCCCTCTCAGCAGGTTTGGGTGGCAAAATTATTGGGTTATGACTTTGAGATTGAATATAAGACAGGGAGTTCTAACGCAGCAGCAAACGCCCTGTCTCGAAGAGGGGAAGAGTTGGAACTAGCTGCAGTCAGCATGCCAGAGTGGCTGGGTCTGGCCGACATAGAAGAGGTGCAAAAGAAAGATAAAATTTTGCAAGAAATTATTCAAACACTGGCAATTGATCCGGCAAAGGTACCGGGTTATGAAGTGATGGGGAGGCGGCTGTTCTTCAAGGGCCGATTGGTCCTGCCTTCAGACTCTAAGTGGATTCCCTGGCTGATGGAAGAATTCCATGACATACCGGACATACATAACACTAGCGATGAACGTATTTTGGAGGGGAATGTTCCGTCAGGTACGGGCCTATGTTGCACAATGTTTGGTATGTCAAAAAGCCAAATATGAGGCGATGTCACCGGTTGGGCTACTGCAGCCCTTACCTATTCCCAGCTTGATTTTGGAAGATATTTCCATGGATTTCATCACTTGTTTGCCCAAGTCGAAAGGATACACATCTATTTTGGTGGTGGTGGACCGATTGTCCTAGTACGGGCATTTTATTGCCCTAAAATCTCCGATCACCGCGCGCTCCGTGACTGAAGTTTTTTCCAGAGAGGTAGTCAGGTGTAAGGTTACACGGCATTCCACATTCGATTGTTAGCGACCAGGACTCTCTATTTATTAGTGCATTCTGGAAGGAGTTGTTTCTCATGTCTGGAACACAGTTAAAATTTAGCTCAGCTTATCACCCGGAGACAGATGGACAGAGAGGTGTTGAACTGCGTGTTAGAAACATATTTGCGTTGTTTCACTTGTGAGCAGCCACGACAGTGGATACGTTGGCTGAATTGGGCTGAATATTGGTATAATACCGCGTTTTAGACAGCAGCAAAAATTTCACTATTTGAGGTGGTATACGGCCGGCCACCACCTACTATTTGGTGGTTCCTTCCAGGAGAAAACAAGGTGGCAGCCGTGGCAGAGGTATTGGGCAGCAGGGATGTCATGTAAAAACGGCTAAAAGAGACTCTAGAGAAAGCACAACAGAGCATGGTGACCCAAGCTAATAAACATCGCCGCAACGTGGACTTTCAGGTTGGGGATAAGGTGTTTTTGAAGGTTAGGCCTCACCGGCAGATTACTATATTTCGCCAAATTCTATGGGCCATTTTTTATCGAAGCACGAGTTCGGACAACAGCCAACCGGCTAGCATTGTCATCTAACAGCCGTATCCATCCGGTTTTTCACGTGTCTCAGCTGCGGAAGGTAGTCGGTGATCATCCGATAGAGAGTGAGCTGCCAGAAAGCATGGAATTGCCACTCACTCCAGTTTTCGAGCCTGAAGAGATATTAGCCACCCGAAAGCAAAATGATAAAGAAGAAGAGCTATTAGTCAAATAGGCTGGGCAGCCTATTGACGAGGCAACATGGATGAATAGAGAAAGTTTCTTGGGCCAGTTTCCTGATTTCAACCTTGAGGACAAGGTTCTTTCAAAGGAGGATGAAGTTGATAGGGAGCAGGCCAGGGCAGCCGGTCAGCGGGCAGATGCGAGCGAAGGAGAGCCGGGCCCCAGGCCCTTGGTAGTCTACCGGAGGCGGGATGAGCCTGAGCCCACTTTCGTGGGCTGGCTATTTCAGTGGCTTTAATTAATTAGGAGTTTCCTAATTATTATGTTTCCTAGTTATTTCCTTTTATTATGTTTCCTATTTTAAGTTGGTTTCCTAGTATGATTTAATTAGGAGTTCTACCTTAATCAGAACTAGTAGACTATTTATACCCCTTAATAGGTTATTCAAACTATGCATTATTATTGAATAAAGTTGGTGTTTTAGCTTTAAGCTTGGGCAACGGTTGCTACTTTTGATTGTTATTTTTATCTGCTCTCATCACTCATCAGCATCTTCTTTACCAACTCTAGTTTACCCATACCAAATTTCAGATAAAAATTCAACCAGAAAGACAGTCAAATGATTTTCTGAAATGTACTGTGTTGTTTAACTGCGCAGTTATCTTCAAAAATTCATTTGACTCTCTTTCCGATTGAATTTTTAGCTGAAATTTTGTATGAGTAAACTAAGCTTAATGAAGAAGATGCTCTAAACATTTCATCAAAAAATTCCACCGAGAACCGCCCTAAATAGCGACGCCCGGACAAAGCCTCCTATATAAGGGGTGATTTGCACTTTTTAAGTTAGTTCGAGGGTCTATTTAACCCTTTTCCCTTTTATTCTTCAATTTTTGGAAAACCAATTATGTATTTTGAAAATTCTTATAATACATTTACCAAAATTTACATATTTTTTCGGATAAAAATAGATATACATTATTATAAAAAATAGTGAAATTATGAAATACAGATTATGTAGTAAACTAGTAAATGTTCAACTACTCATTTAAAACGTTAAGGAGCCTCATAAAATGCTAGAGAACTGAATTCTATCAAGCATGAGTTTGGTTTGTTTATGTTAAGGAGCCTCATAAAATGAGCGCGAAAAACCTTTTATCCGACTGAGATCCATATAGTTTACGAGATGTTTGGTTTATTTACAGCCGTAGCACGCAGGTGATGTTGTGGTTCTGGCTAGGGTAGTAGCATTTGAACAGTTTTGATCCAATGGGTTTCTTATTTATGGTATCCCATTCTTTCTTAGTCAAGCTAATCCTCCGTGGCGTGCTTTTTTCTTCAAAATTTAATGCATCTTTTTAGCAAATTTCTTTTTTAAGTATCTTAAACTTTATAAGTTTATAAGTATGTCACCATACCACTTGTATTTTTATAATTTATAAATTTGTGATTTTTTAAGTATGTCACCATACCAAATATGTCTATGATTTCTGAATCTACTTTTCCTCTTCAAGTGAGTGTTATGTCTTGACATTTGCATCCACTATGGTAAGGTTTAGGTTTCAGATTGTGAAGATGTAGTTACTTGAAGAATTGTGGTTGTCTCTCTTTAAAAGAGAGGGTAATACACTATACATTTTCTTGTCTCTCTTTGCTTGGAAAATTATGAAAAAATGGGGATTTATATTTTTTTATTACTGGGGTCGGTCGAAATATAGTCACATATATAATATTTTTCTATGGATGTGTCTTTAGTTCTCAAATCTGACGTCGTGGCTGCACTTAATAAAGTGGTTAAATCCCTGGACGAAGATAGCTGGATGTTTGATGGGCCTCGATCTCATATAAACCTAATTTCAAGGCCAGGTACACTCTATTCTAATGGATATATTCTTCTATGATTTGGGTACTTCAAAGTTTATAGTTTTTAGTTAGATAGATCTCAATGATTTATTTCTGGATTTACAAACAAAAAAACAAAAAAATATTGTTTCTCCCTTAATATAGTTTTATATTTATCCCATTCATCCATGTAAAGCCTTTTCAAACATTTAGATTTGAATTGTCGGATAATCTACTAAGAGCTTCTTTGTTAAAACTATTGTTTTGGAGCGGTGGGGTGAAAAGTTGGATATAAACAAGCTAGCATTCGTTGGAAATGCTCCAATTTAGGCAATTTTCAAGTCTTATTCGAACACATAACCATTACCATTTTGTGTGGTTGGAAATCCAATGAAATGGATGGGTGGGTGGGTGGTGGGTGGACTTCACTACCAAGAGAACATAAGAACTTTGGTTTATCTTTCAACATTTCAGCTATCCTTTGTTATGAGTTCATGACTACGTCGCTGATTTATCATCTTTGAACATGAACAATTTGTTATCTTTGAGCAGGTTTTAATGACTTTGTAGTTTGTACCCCATATTTCATTGCCAGCCAAAGGATTTGGTGTGGGTCAAGGTGATAAATTTGAAAAGTACAGAGACTGAATAAAACAAAATAAAAGATTAGCCGCTAATAGAATTCAAAAAAGCTGTAGGCCAATGATGTGGTTGTCCATTTCTAAACACGGAACTGGAGATTAATTATCATTTATCAAAATCCATGGGTTGGGTTACTTTTGGAAGCTACATTCGCATGGATCATTGCTTTAATACTACAACAGCTCTGTGTTTTGTAGCTAAATCATTTACTAATCTGGCTCTCTTTTTTTCTTCTATTTGGCTTGTTGGAATATTTGTGCTGAATTATAAATTTAAACCTGAAATCTCATACTCCACATGCATCTAAAATCACAAGTTTATGTCATCACTAATACAGAAGGTCTTTGCCCATCTCAGATTTGAGGGCAATATTTTCTACTGATACACCTTGATGGCCTGATGGGTCGATTTTCGACAGGTAGTTTTCTTCAGAAGCTTGTGGAAATGGCACAATAGCACACTTTGGCACCATCAAAATGATGGAAAAGAGCCTTCTTCTTTTTTGCTCAAAACTGGTGTTCTACAACTCTTTAACAAACACAGTTCTAACTTTCTTCTTCCCCTTGCCCCACCCCTAAACAATCATAAGCGCCGACCTACAAAGAAGTCCACCAACTTTTTTCACCAGATTGTTAAAGATATTTGGAATAAGGTGAGGGTACCGTACCTATAACATGTATGATTAGTCCACATCATTAATTCATCATTTATTTATATTTTAATTGTTTAATTGTAACATTTTGATGACCGACCGGTCCCGGTTCTACAAATATGGAGCCCGATACTGACCCGGGTTGGTACGGTCCTTGTCCTAGGTACACAGGCCGGTCCCTATGACAACAAATAGTGGACATTAAAAATGAAATGTAGATTAATTTGAAATATGAATTACACTTGAGCTTTGAGAATAATTTAAAACATCAAATACATTTGCTAGTCGTCGTTACTCCCGCCAGTGTCGGTTGTCGTTTTCCTCCATGAAGTAACAGTCGGGGGAGATGCAAAGTTCTTGAGTTCTATGTCGGGCATTCAATTAATCGTGGAAGCAAATGAACGTTTCAAGAGTTTGCACGTTCAATCCCGTTCTATAATTTGTTAGGATGTTGCGGCTTCGCTTAATTCTTGTTCCACGGCTACCGTTGGAACTTGGAACTGGCATTGGGTCATTGGTAACACTTGCTTCACCATCTTCGATAAAGTGGAGAATATTCCTTCTTTCTCCTTTCACCATTAGAGAATGTTTAACTCTTCCTCTTTTTCAAAATCACAATGAAATGTTAGATATAAAAACAACTCGTTAATCGAGTTTTGTACAACATCGGGAGTTGTTTTACTTTTTATCAAAAGATTACTAATTGTAGATTTAAAAAGCGATTTTCCTTTAAAAGCAAGAAAATGGTACTTAAATCTAAGAAGCACATAAATCAATTTATAAGTACTATTCCAGTGAATCGACAAATTTTTAGGGAAAACACAATATCTAATTCTAACATGTCTAGCTTTCAATTAAACACGTCATTGCGGTTTAAGTTGTGTAGTACCCCAAATAATTCTAATACCCCCTTCACTTTCTTCATCACACTTCCTAATGCGACTAACTGTGTTTTACACATAAATTAAAAATATGACATGCACAACGCTGATGAAAAAACTACTCATCAAAGTAGAAGAGTCACATAATTCATGCAATCTAGGTATAACATTAGTATTATTACTAGCATTATCAAAGATTCAAAATCAATGACAAACATCTTATCAATCAAATTATAGTCAATTAAAATACGTTCAATGATAATACAAATATTATCACCGATGTGTTGACCATTAAATTCTCGAAAAGCGATAACACATTTATGCATTTGTCAATTATCGTTAATAAAATGTTTAGTCACACGCAAATAATACAAATGGTGATACTTATTCTCTCATATATCAGTATAAATATTCACACCCATTAAAGTTTGCTATTTTTTTATTTATCCTTTTTTAAAAATATTAACTTATATCTTCTTTTTGGAAAAATGGTCATTTAAGCTCTTTTACTATCACAAATCTATCGCATAAATTCATGTACTAATAAAAGCATCACTTAAACACGTATACTCCATGAAAACAATCAACTTGGTGAAGTTCACCGGAAAGCAACTGACTTAGCAGGTTAAAAACATATTTGACTTTTTTCTATTCTTTTTCCTTTTTTATTTTCTCTTTCTTTTATTCATTTTTCTACTCATTTTCATCCCTTCACAAGCTCACAGCCTCCTTCTGGGCTTCCTTTTGCAAGTACATACATTTTTTATATAGCAATCCTGTCAGGCCAGCTTGACCATACTCGCCTTCCGACCGAGGTCATTTATGGTCCTTCCTCGTACAATTTTTTGATGAAACTTTTTGAACATGTTCTTGATCAAGTTTAGTTTATGTCCACAAAATTTCAGATTGAAAATCAACAAGGAAGGCATTTAAATAAAATATTTCAAGCTGATATTTTGTGTACATAAACTACACTTGATTAAAAGCATACTTTAAAGATTTTATCAAAAGATTCCATCGCAAAGGGCTCCAAATGGCCTCGGCCTTACGACGGTTCCTGTCAGGCCGGCCTGATACGATTTGCCCCCGATATATATATATATATATATATATATATATATATATATATATATATATAGAGAGAGAGAGAGAGAGAGAGAGAGAGAGAGAGAGAGAGAGAGAGAGAGATAGAGAGAGAGAGAGAGGGAGAGAGAGAGAGGGAGAAATGTTCAGGTTCGGAATTCCGGACCTGAACCACCGTCCGGACGGCAGCGTTTTGGCGTCTTCCCGGTTGACGTTTTTGATGAAATTTTTATGCCTTGTTCTACATCAAGTCTAGTTTATCCACAAAAAAGTTTAGCTAAAACTTCAATCGGGGAAGTTGTCAAATAATTTTTTGAAGTTAACTGCGTTTTATATGTATATTCTGGCACAGTTATCTTTCAAAAATCATTTGACGGCCTTCCCGATTGAATTTTTAGCTGAATTGTTTAGTGGATAAATTAGATTTGAGGAAGGCCCCAAAAGCCACCTTCCGGACGGCGGTTCCGGTCAAGAATTCTTGACCGGAAGAGTACTATATATATGTATATGCGTGTGTGTGTATGATATATATGTATATACATATGTATATGTATATGTATATATATGTAGGTTTTGGTTCAAATAAGAACATGATTTTAGGAGAGAAATGAGAAAGAATCTGGACTACTAGATTTGTTTTAAATAAAATTCAATGTACATTAGATGAAACTGTAATGTGCATTAGGTGAAAATGTAATGTGCAGCACAAATGGTATGTGATGGAGTATATGGGTCCAGACCCCATGACCCACATACTCAGAAGAATAAGAAGCACAACTGGCACCCAGTGAGTCCTCTGTCGGCCAGATGGCCCTCCATCGGCCAAAAAGATGTCAACTCAGAACATGATCCAGAGGTCAGGAGAACCGGGTGTCTCCGTCGGCCGGGTCTCCGTCGGCCACAGAGAGCTCACAGAATCGGATTTCATACTTAATCAATTTACATACTTTGTATTCTGCCCAATAGTCCCCCATTGTAATCGGGCCTCCCAAACCCAAGACTTGGGAGCTCAGTCCACATTTTCTCTATAAATACTCCCCTTGGGAGTAGTTGTAGAGGTTCACAAATTCATTAATAACTTTGCAGTTCTCTCTCTAGCTCTCACTTCTCTCTAAGGGTTTATACTCTATCATTTGGTGCTTTCATTGAGAGCTAGAACAATCAAGTTAGCATTCTTCATCGCTACCAAGCACAAGCTAACTGAAGACGGGAAGAGCAAGGTCAAACCACAACTTCATCGGCAAGACGATCCCCGAGACTCAGGAGGGTCGTGAGCGCCCAGGTGACGCTACGGCCGAGCAGCAGAAGAGGAAATCTTCTAGGAGACAATCGACCCCGCAGCTGATCTCCACAATCAACTCAACGGCAACGCTCAAGATGCCCGTATCGGCCTTGAGAAGAAACGCATGGAAAAGGGAGACCATGCATCGGGGCAACAGACTACTCCCGTTGTTGACCCTCAGCTCCAAGCCGTTGTATCGGCCATCATAGCCAGCTTGGCTTAGAATCCCACCGTCCTCAGCGCAGTCATGCCTAGGACGGGGGAGAACACCACTCCACCAGCTCCACCGCCCCAACCGTTAGTCATGAAAATAGGCAACAACGAGGAGGTGGAGGCCCAGGACACGTCGTCATCCCGTTCCCATCCTGCTTCCCTTCTTCAAGCTGGACCGACCCCAGCGCGTCGAAAAGCCTTGACCTTCAATAGGCTAGGTGACACGCGCCGTCAACCAGTAGAGAGGATGGCGGGACGGATTTGTGAACGCGAGCCTGGCTCACCAAGGGAAAGCTTTGAGTCCGTATCCCAGACAGTGGATCGGCCCCGCTTGGACAAAGGCAAGGGAAAGCTGCACGAGGGTGATGCACGTCAGCAAATCAACACGGCTCACACAGCTCGCGTGCAAGCACAATGCGCCACCATGGCTGCCAAGGACCCCTGGGACGAAGTTATCGCCTAGATGGAGGCCAAACAGATGGCCGCCACTCCCACGGGCAACTCGTCCAAGGACCCCAGCTTTAATGCCCTTCTGCACAAGGTCAGCGCTCTGGAGAGGGAGCTCGCTGAGGGGAGAGGGGACCCCGTCATCCAGATCAGAACGCGGACTCCTTTCTCGGCCAGGATACTCGAAGCCCCCATACCCGAGAAATATCGAAGAATCGCCATCAAACCCTATGACGGTCACACCGACCCTCAAGAGCACTTCAGCCGCTATCAGAATAACATGCTGATGGTGAATGCATCAGACACATACCTCTGCCACTGGTTCCTCTCCACTCTCGAGGGACCAGCGTATGAATGGTTCAACGCGCTCCCCGAAGGGAGCGTAGACTCATGGCAGGATCTCGCCCAATGCTTCCTCACCCACTTTGCTGGAAGGAAGCGCGTGAAGAAATACTTCTCCCATCTCCTCTTTGTCAAGCAGCAACATGACGAATCACTCCGGTCTTTCATCGACCGGTGGACGAAGGAGACCGACGAGGTTGAAGGAGCTGATGAGCGCACCCTCCTCGTCCTTTTTCAGGGCGCTCTCCGGAGCTCCCCATACGCGAGGAGCCTCATCACCGACCCACCGAGGTCATACACAAAGGCACTCCAACGAGGGAACCTGTACGCCGACGCCGATGAGCTCCACAATCACAAGAAGGATGGAGGGCACCCCTTTAAGAAGACAAACTCCGCGCAAACTCTTATCGCACCCCGGTTGAAGACCGAGGATAGGGAGGACAAAACCGCCAAGGGTCTGGCGGACAGAACAAGAAGGATCACCCATGGCGTTCGAGGATGGAAAGGCCGAGGACCCCCCTCACACACTCGGTCAACTCCATCCTCGACTATGCCGAAGAGCATGATCTCATTGAGAGGGATCCTCGCTCGGCAAAGGAAATATATGTCGTTCATCAGGGTGGCACCTACTGCCGATACCACAAGAACACCTCCCACAACACTGACGACTGCGTCACGCTGAAGAGAGCCATCGAGCGTCTGATTCGACATGGGGAACTCTCCCAATTTGTTAAAGGTGGCCCACGAAAAAATACTTGGGTAAACACCGGAAAAAATGGGGGAGAACCCTCAACGAAGAAGCACAAGATCGATAGACTCAACGACGACGA